AGTCAATATAGTTAGTAATATAACCATTCAGCACAGCATTTCTACATTGGTACTACCTACACTGGTACAGACAGCTTTAGTATACATACACTAAATTTGATTCAGGCCTTACTAAATGAATTTTATAAAATGAGACTATAACCTCACCTCAACAAAGTTTATGATGTCCACTTTGCTCTTAGCTGAGCCTGAGGTTTACTTTTTTATTTGAAGAGTGAATTAATGTTCTTCATTAAGTGAAGTACTTTTGTGTCTAGAATTACATGTTAAAAATTACCAGATGACTGTTCAAGTAAATAAGTGGGTCCAATTGATCAATCAGCTTCTTTTCACAATTCCTCATGTATGCGCTTTCTTCTGCTTTAATTCTATATATTGGGTTAACAATTTTATGATTCAGATAGATAACATTGTGCTTTCCTCAAGTTTAATACTCTCAAAATTTTCATGCATATTAAGGCCATTTATACAAGCAAAAATAAGTCACGGCTGAAATAAGTCGCGAACGACTGGTATAAACAGTCAATTTGTTCGCAAGCGCGGCTAAAATAAGCCCAGGCTTTGAAAGCCATGCCTAAATTAGCCGTGGCTTATTGCAAATTGACTGTTTATACGAGTCGTTCGCGGCTTATTTTATAGGCCGCGTCTTTAAATATTTTTGCTCGTATAAATGGCCCTATTGTTTAATAATATATACCATGTGGGTTCAAACATGCTTTATCAAGTTTTATCGAACAAGTGCAACCCAATATTTACTATAATGTGTTTATTCAAAATTGAATTGTTGATTTTGACTAATATTTGACGGCATTGAAATGAAATAATTCAATATAAATCTTGTGTGTGCAAAAAATTCAAATTTTAGCAGCCACAACAGGCCAACAGCCACAAGATAAATGCGCAAATAGTGTCGATGGACGTTATAATTATATGATATAAACAGTAATATTTCATACCTGAGATCAATAAGGCTTTTGGCAGGAATTGGAATCACTTATCCAATACAAAATATATAGCTTTTCCTCGGCTTTTCTTCATCGAAATATACTAAAACGAAAAAAATCACACTTCACTTGAAATTTGATACACAATATCCCAAAACTCATTGCGCGCGTGGGCCCTTGTCTTCTAAAATAGATACACCAAAAAGCGCTCCCAATCTACCGCTAGCTACCCTGGATTCCAGAGCCTTCAATAAATAATAAATTGAGAAATGTCGCGAAGGCTCTGGTTCAACGGGAGGGTTCTTTGACTAAACCGCGCCAATCACAAAACAGGATTTAGTGGTTTTAGTACAGATTCTGTACTAAAACCACTAATTCTGTTTTGTGATTGGCGCGGTTTAATCAAAGAACCCTCCCGTTGAACCAGAGCCTTCACCAGCATTTCAATTTATTATTTACTGAAGGCTCTGGAATCCAGGGTATTCGCTAGCTTGAAACTGTGTGAAGCATTAATCTGGGCAAAAAATGATCATAAAAAAAATGGTAAAAATTTTTATAAGCGAATAATGAGATAGATTTTCTAAAAAATTATATATTTCAATTCAATATCATATCTCATCTTAGCCAGGCTAAAATTGCCGAAGGGATTAATGGTCATTTCATAGATTTTCTATTTGGGATCCTACTCAGGATCTTAATTTTTCTGGTAATATCCTGGTTAACATCATGCATGCTATAATTGCTATTAAATGCCAGGATCCTATGGTAGATTTTTCTTATAGGATCCTATAGTCAGGATCCTGTCAGTTTTCCTTGTAGTATTGTATCCAGGATCCTGTTATTAAATGCCAAGATCCTAGATTTTCCTTATAGCATCCTATTCAGGATCCTGTAAATTTTCCTGTAGTATCCTGTTATTAAATGCCAGGATCCTAGATTTTCTTTATAGGATCCTACTCAGGATCCTGTAAATTTTCCTGTAGTATCCTGGTTAGGATCCTGTTATTAAATGCCAGGATCCTAGATTTTCTTTATAGGATCCTACTCAGGCTCCTATCAATTTTCCTGGTAGTTTCCTGGTTAGGATCCTGTTATTAAATGCCAGAATCCTAGATTTTCTTTATAGGATCCTACTCAGGATCCTGTCACTTTTCCTATAGTATCCTGGTTAGGATCCTGTTATTAAATGCCAGGATCCTAGATTTTCTTTATAGGATCCTACTCAGGATCCTGACAATTTTCCTATAGTATCCTGGTTAGGATCCTGTTAGGATCCTAGGACCCTAACGAGATCCTAGTCAGGATCCTGTTGATTATAGGATCTTGATAGGATCCTAATTCAATTCCTATTACTTTTAGGATCCTATCAGGATCCTATTCAGGATCCTGTTAATTTCAGGATCCTAACAAGATCCTATAGGATCCTGCATAGGATTTCTACCAGGGACTGGCTTTCGTCTAACTTTGACAGTTTGACAAATTATTTATCTTGCTTAATGGACAGATAATTGCCACTTTTACACAAGTCCGAAATGAGATTTACTTTATCTGTTTATTTTTCGTCAAAAATGCTCATCTCTCCATTCGACGTAACTAGTATTTTATAGTTACCTGGGGTGGAAATTGAACTATTTTTATACTATTTAGATATACTTTTGTAAAATCCTTCCCTGGATTAGCTGCCCTCAGCTTTTGAGATATATAAAAATACATGAAGATATATTGTTCATATATTGTTTTAAGCTCTGTGTGGCTTAACACAGGCATGTTACCGAGTGCCTAATAACTGAGTCTTTACATATAGTATGTGTTAATAAGACTAATTATATATGTTAACACTACATAAGAGATTATACAAGAAATATAATACTTATGCCTAAATGAACCTCAGGGGTAATCTACGTAATAATATAATTTAGCTATTACACGTGAGAAAAAATAAGTCACACCAAAATGAATGTGAAAACAAAGCACAAAATTGTTTGTTTTCCTGAAAGTATATGTACCAGGGACTAAAAATGATTTTGTCAATTCAATCAAAACGTCTGCCAAAACTGATTTAATTTTCATAAAATAACTTACTTTTGCAACAGCAAAAATTTTATTTAAATTCTTGGTTGATGAACTGTACATAACAGGAGATTATTATAAAGTTCTTCTGATATAGTATCTCTCTATAATAATAACCTAAAACTGAATATTTACTTTAAATATTCCTTAATATACTTCTTAATCTTAATAAACATCGTAAACTTCAAAATTTTTCAAATACATGCAACGACAAATTTATACTTCATAATAACTCGAACTTATTTAATTTAAACATGCGTAGCGTATCAAACTCCAAAATGTAGGTTTTCATCCAACAGAGAATTAAGTGTACCAAATTTACATAGAGAACACAAGAATGTGCTTAATATTTAAGCTTTTGGCTTGAAACGAAATCCTAATCTGTACAAAAAGAATGGGAAACCCTTGACTGTCCCGGGGAGAGAGAAAAAAATATATATAGTAATATACGAACAAAGTTGAAACACATAAAAATGATTAGTTAATACATTTTTTAAAAATCTGACCCAACTAATTTCATGCATACGCTAACCTATGGCGACATTCATGTATATGTGTTGAGCATAATCTGGCTAATAATAAGCAAAAAAGACACAAATCGCATGCAATTTTAGTCGAAAAAGATAATATATCATAATGCAAATAATAAAATATATATACAAAACTTAAAGGTGTCCAATTTCCAGTCTGACTCAGTATTCATGTCCGTCTTTATCGAAAGGTCACAGTTAACAATATCTGCATCATGTTCGTACTTTTAACCACAGGGGTTTCCAAACTGTATCCTCCGTGACGAGAGACATATTACCACTTGTGATGAGAGACATATTACCACTTGTGATGAGAGACATATTACCACTTGGATTGTAGCTGAGAATTGTGGTAACAGCATTCCCGACATTGTAACATTCAGCTGGAAAGTAAACTTGATTTGAAAAGTGATCATCTGCCTGAACGATGGTCCCAGAAACTGCAGCTACAAGTTTAATGACGAACAACAATGCTAAAAAACATTGACAATTCATCAGGCCGTTCCTCCACCAGTTGTTAAGAAATGTATATTTTATTTCGTTTTTCTACGCGAGGTAGGGAATTGTTACAGTCAATCTCTAATAACTAGGACTTGAATGATGTGGTTTCTTTGCACTTCACTTGGTGGAATTAATATTAGAATGCTAGGGTTTGTAATCCAAATGATTACATACATTTTAAGACCTGACCAGGAACGACTGCGAAAAATGCAGCACAAGGTCCTCTGGTAGGAATTGAACCTATGGCCCTGTGACACCGGTGCAGCGCTCTAACCTACTGAGCTACAGAGGCCAGCTGTTGAGCTGTAACCGTAAGTTCATGTATATATGGGTAATCTGGTGTGCGGGTTGTGATAAGGTGGACTTCAATGATGTGGTTTCTTTGAACTTCACTTCCACCAATGGACGACTTACGCTTTAGAAAAATTTTTAATCTGGGAATAACAAAGGATATTTTCTGAAAGAAGTTATCAAAATTAGAAAAACTGCAAAGTTTGTTTGCGAAATGTTGTAAAATACGGAAAATATAGCCCTGCGAAATTGGCAAATTTGTATACAGTTCTATTACGTGCGGAAATTGGTAACTAATTTAGTTACCAATTCACACACGTAATACAAATTTGCCAACTTTGAAGGGCTATATTTTCCGTATTTTACAACATTTCGGAACCAAATTTTGTAATATTACTAATTCCAAGATGCTCTTTCCAGCTGTGGTGATAGATTTCGTTGTTCTTACTTAGATTAATATTGGTTTTGAACAAACTGACCGCGTAGCTCATTTGGCAAAGCATTGGGCTCGTATTCGAAAGGTTCAATTCCCACCATGACCAGACATAATTTCCAGCCTACCCGGATATACACTGAGAGTAACACCAGAAACATACACCTTAATTATTGATATAAAAATATATAATGTTACCAAGTTGGTTATAAGTCCAGGAAGTTAACTAATTCACATTTTATCAATGTCTGACATCAGGACCAATACCTTGGTTGGTATTTTTTGTGTGTCATACACTTTCAGGACTTGTCTTTGGAGAAACAGGAAGGTGTTAAAACACTCTTTTGGATATTCCAAAGTACATACATAATATAGTAGCATCATTGATTCTACTGCATCAAGCAATCCCAAATGCTTGAATACAACATGATTTTCTGCCACCACAGATGTCTCATGAGGTTGGGAGTTTTGGCAGGTACCACCAATTACCAAGAATGGTGCCATTCCTGGCCTTGTGGCCAATGCAATCTCTCTTGCATCTCCAAACTAAAAATACATGCAAGACAGCAATGTGTTAATTAAACATGGTACTGTACATATGGAATTGGTTACTTTTTGAAAACTAAATAGTATCTGCTACCAGAAGAGTGACCTGATTAGTGAAAATAAGTAAAATAACTAAGCAAAATTTTAAAAAATGGCTGGTGCAGAAATTTTAAATAAAAGTTTAAAAAAATATACACCTATTCCTAACAATTTTTGTTAAAAGTTGGCTGTATAATTATTTTCACTAATGAAAAATGTTTAAAAAAATGCAGGTCACAGAATTTAGTTTGAAGAAAATAATGAATGCATTGAAAGGTCATGATTGCCATATCAACAAAGTGACGTCAGTTTTGATTAAAATGTTTGACTCTTCAAGTGGTAATTTCTTATAACTTGGATACTATTTGCTTTCAGTTGCAAAAATCCGTAGGGAGCCACCTTCAATTCAAACACTTAGTGGCTACAAAAATCACTATGCTTATACATCATTGCACTTCTGGAACATTGCACCACACCTAAGATCTATGTATTCAATTATCATACATTCTGTTCTTTCTCCCACATATAGTGAAGTAATTGGAAACTGTACCTGGTAAAGGAATGATTCTGTTTTTGGCTTTCGTTCCAACAAGAACAGGAGTAAACATGTGGCTACAAATGCCTGGTCCTCTGTAAAAAAATACAGTAAAATTAGACTCAGATAAGCATATCATACTGCAATAACCGTACCCCTGTGTAATGCCAGGCAAATTGACAACAAGAAATGCCTACCTGCACTTATATCTACAATATCATCATCGTCCATTTCATTAAGCTCTAAGAGATTCAAAAGGTTTTTTGCTTCTTTTGAGGCAAGATTCCTGCTCTCTGCCATTTTTACGATTTTGGGGGCCAACTGCAGCAAATTGCTCTGCAGAACATCTGCTGCATTGTCATCTGCCATCAAACGGTTGTGCTCGCATTTTAGCTACAACACAAAAATAAAGGAGAGAAAAGACATTTTAGTGGAATAGTATAAATACTAAAGTCACTGCTAAGCATTCAGAGTACAAATTAGCAGCTCATATTTTGAAATGAAATTGTAATGAATTATAGCCGAAACTTTGTTTACATAATCCATATATTTCTTCGACAAAGACACTTACAAATATACAAACTTACAAACATATTGAAAGTGTTCGTTCACAAAAACAATGTGCTCAGTCACGTAACTGGCCCAAGTTTAGGTTCAGATCGTCGCCTGCGTGCAGGCCTTGTAGTAATGTTCTTTACACTCCCCGGACTGGTTACTTAATGTAAACAGAACTAATTAACGAATACAACAATTTTAATTAAATCAACTTATTCTTCAAGAGTTCTCCTCTTAGAAGTTCATTGGCAATTGCTGCTGCACGTCGAGGTCGACTGCGGTTTTCTCTTGAATCTTCCACAACCGTCAATTTCTCATTTTGGTTCAGTTTGATCTCATCTACGTTGGAATCTTGACCAACTTCCAGAGGCACTAGATGTTGAATAGAGCTTCTTAACACGTCTGATTTTCCGTTCTCGTTACTAACCCTGACCTTGGCCGCACGAACCATTCCATCATCACCTGATATGAGTTCCTCAATCTTTCCGAGTCGCCAGAAATTCCTGTTCGTTTTGTCATTCTTAACTATAACGATATCACCTTCCTTAAGCTGTTCCGTTTTTTTATGTTTCCCGTTCACTTGTGCATTCTCGCGTATATTCCTTTCGCCAACGCGTTGTAAACTGACACAAGATCTGCTTGTGATGCCTTGGCTCTTTTGGTTAATGATGCGTTTGTGCTAACGATCTTGTAATGTTGGCTGTTTGGTCTCGAACAAATACGTCGTCTGTTAATTAATTGTGATGGTGAGAGCGCATAGGAAACCGATTCTTCGTCATCGTAAATGTAATCCTTGAATGCCTAGCTCAACCATTTTACAACTTTGTTTCTTAAACTGTTCTTCACCAAACGTGTTCAAATGCACTGTTTCTCTTTTCCTGGTAGACAGACCTAATCTCGATTTTAAACTACTGGTGACATAACTTTGCTGACTTCCTGAGTCAAAGAGAACCCTAACCTTTACACTTCTGGAATTCTCTGTGTTAAGAGCATAGACAGTTCCTGTCTGTAGTAAGACTTGGGTTGCACCCCTGACACTGTGTCCTGTGTTGGCCGTCGTACTTATAACTTGTTCGGGTTTGTTCAAAGATGTCTCACTCTTTGCTGTTGCACCTTCTACGTTCTGGTCTGCTGGTTTCTCCTTGTTTTCATGCCTTGAGTGATCTGTTGCACAAATCGATTGATGGTGTGATCCTTGATACTTCCTACAATTATTGACCTTGTTACATTCTCTTGTCCGATGACCTCGTTGCAAACACACAAAGCACCGTCTATTCCGTTTTAAAATTCCCTTTAGTTCATTGATACTCGTGACTTTCTCACATGAAGCCGAATAATGATATTTGCCACAATAAACACACTGTATTTTGCCCTTCATGCCACCTTGTGCTGCAAACAATGCAGTTGCTGTTGGATCTCTGGCATGACTTTGATTGCCATCTTCATTTCTTTGATTGTAGGGGCCACTGGTACTTGTCTTAGCTGCTTCACTAGCCTCCCATGCTTCCACTTCAAACTTAATTGTGTTCAATAATTCATCGATTTTCCACACACCACTGGCAGACTTTCTTGTTATTTCAAGTCGAATATCATTCTGTAATTTTGCCATTATGATGGGTATCAAAAGACTGCCATGCTGATCTGATGATATGCCAAGGGACTGTAGAGCCCGTACATGAATACTAAGACTGTCATATACAAAGCGTAGTGAAGCCAATCGTTCACTGGTGCATGCTGCTATTTTCAGGATCTCATCCATATGGGCTGTGATTATTTGTTGGGGTCTCCCAAAACGGTCCTTTAGAATTTCGATTGCTGCATCATAGTTTGCTGTAGTCAATGTTAAACCTTGGATTGCATGTAGGGCTGCACCTTCAAGTAAGGAAATGAGATAATTGAATTTGTTGATCTTCGAAATTACACTGTTATTGTGTATAGCCGAATTATATGAGTCCCAAAAAGGACCCCATTTGGTCACTTGACCCTTAAATTTGGGCAATGTGAGTTTTGGCAACTTAGGTTTTAAAGAAGATACCAAAATTTGATTCGATGCTGTTGCCCCATGTTCCCCCATACTACCAACTTCCGGTGGACCATTGCTCGCATTAATAATTCCACCCCATCGCTCATGTGGATCGTAACTTCGCTCGAATTTTTGCTGCTTGTCGTCGCAATATTATTTCCATTTTTGTGTTGAATTGTCACCGTTGAGGCCTTTGTATTTCCTGTTTTCTTCGCTTCGAGTTTCACCTTATCAAGTTTACGTTTTGCACTGAGTATTCGTCCCATAACGTCTGCTGATTCTTCGATCTCGTATTCAATACTCGCAATTTCGCATATTCCCAATATTTCCTCGTCTATATCCATTAATATTTTCGATTTTTCTTCCAGTAAAGAGCGAATAACCTCGCATCTATTGTAATCAATTTCATCCGCATGAATTATTTCCTCGGTTTCCTCACGATAACTGCCTCGTTTCGCCCTCAATCAATCGAGTTTATCCTTCGTTTCAGCCATAATATCGCTCAAATTTTCGCTTGGCCCACGTTGGGCGCCATGTAATGAATTATAGCCGAAACTCTGTTTACATAATCCATATATTTCTTCAACAAACACACTTACAAATATACAAACTTACAAACATATCTAAAGTGTTCGTTCACAAAAACAATGTGCTCAGTCACGTGACTAGCCCGAGTTTAGGTTCAGATCGTCGCCTGCGTGCAGGCCTCGTATTAAATGTTCTTTACAGAAATTATCAATAAGAAAATTTGCCAATCAATTTATCTGCACTAATTAATACCCTGTTTCAGCTGCGTTTTGACAATACACTTTTTAGACGATTATGTCATAAATACTTACCTGGTTTTTCTCAAAAAAGAAAGGATACTTTTCTCGAATGTCCTTCAGTAAATGTTTTTGTCCATTGATCATCTATCGCCTGAAGGAACAGGTCAATTCCATTTTCTTGCCTACAAGGTCTTGGTTGTGCTGTCTTTTCTTTCTTTCTTTCTGCATCCACACAATATGGGCTCTGCATGAAGCTTCATCTTCTCCATCAATTGTAGGTGGTGCCCAGTTGACAATGCCTCTCCGGACAACAGTCCTCACTTTTGTGGAGTTCTTATGCCCATCAGCATTTTTTCGTTTCCTTGCAAGGACAACAGGATCACTCTTTTCGTTTCTTAGCTCATTTTTAATCTTGTCTCCAAGATATCTATACCAAATTTCCTAAAAAGAGATCATACAGTATAATTTAATAAAATAATACATAAATACTTAATTTAAAAATTGAATCATGGCTTACACATTAAAAGCACATAAGGTGATTTTACAGAAGAGGTGTACTGCTGCATCACTAAAGGGGCTGCCAAGTAATTTATAAACTTCTATTGGGTAATATTAATCAGTGGCCACATATTGAAAGAGTGTGAACTGCCAAAATGTGAAAAGGTGCATTGCAAAAATAGTACACACTGTAAAGTAACATTTATTAACCCATTGAGTGACAGATTCTCTCTCCTTGACGAGTAAACTTGTCCGGCATTAAACAAAGTAAAATGATGAAGTAGGGCAAATCAGGGCACAATGCCACTTAACCCATTAACTTGCAGTACTCTACCACTGACGAGTAAAATCATCTGGCGTTAGACAGAGTAAACACTAAAAGTAGGGCGCATTTGGGCGCAAAGTAGGGCGCATTTGAGTTAATGGGTTAACCCATTGAGTGGCAGCACTCTCCCCCTGACGAGTATATGATCAGGGATCAAAATATAAAAATATATAACCTGTCATTTGTATTGCAAATAGTGTCACTCTTGTAATTAACACTAAAAAATCAGGACTATAGTATGGGGTAAACAAAATGTACATTAAATTGTGCCTGCCAATTTACTTTTGACTTGACAAGTCAATGTTCTTCTGCTGGCCATTTATGAAATGCACTATGGCCTGCCTTTCACCATTGGCAGGCCACTATTTCAAGTTATATATGAGAACAACTAATCAAAGAATACTAGTTTTAAAATAAAAATATGCTCTTGAAACTTGCTTTAAAATAAAAACATACGTTCACATGTAATATCAAATGTAAGTTACAGAATTGAGATACAAAATAAAATACTTACATAGCCACCACCAGCATCTGCAAGAAAGGGATATTTAGTGATGATTGCACGGGAAACATCACGTCTTTGGTCTGGTGTAGGGGAACTATAAAAACATAGAAAAATTTAGTTTTCATATAATATTTGTTCAAGTAATAAAAATGGTAAATTAATGCAGTGCAAATTTGTATTGCAAATGAGATATCCTTGTAATTCTTATGCAATGCAAATTTGTATTGCAAATGAGATATCCTTGTAATTCTTCAAGGGTAAATGTTAATTTCTTCAGTAATTCTCCAGAGAAATTAGTAAACACTGGAGGGTTCGTACATGGCAGGACGAGTCAAATTCAAGGACTTTTTAGGACATTCAAGGCCATGTATCAGCAAATTCAAGGACTAACTAGTGAAGGGGTGAGTGCTGGTGCTTAATTAATGGTTAACTGGTCTATCCTTCCATGGATGCGACTAGCTAATTAACTCATTGAGTCTCATTGCTCTCAAACAAGTTTGTCCGACATGAACAAGCATTGAGTCTCATTATGCCCTATTTTATTATTTTACTTGATTTAATGAATTTCAACAACTTTGTCAGACATGCACATGCAAAATCAATTCAAGAAAATGTCTGTTTTGAAAGTCAATTTAAAAAAATATACAGGAGCGAAAGCAGAAGGACTTTCAACTACTTCTTTGCAAATTCAAGGTCTTTCAAGTTTTGCAGTGCCAGACGCCCTGTGAACTGTTTGTCCGCAACAGGCAAGGGAGTACAAATATTAAATGTGATAGCCCAATTTCTTATAAGTCAGAACTATCAAACAAATAAGGGACCGATCGTTTATTACGTCTCAGGGGGGTGATGGTTTTTTTAAAAACATCAATAAAATACGCACCCTCCCATATATCCCCCCCCCCCAATTGCACTAGGCATTTCTAGGCATCAAACCTCAGTGCATCAAATATTCGAATTACAAGGCCTCGCGAAATTGCTAATTACACTGGCCTGTAGGCCAAGTGTCTTAAATCCCTCTTTTTCTGTCTTTTCCTGTTTTTTTCGTAGTCGAGAAATCGAGTTTGCGTTAGCTCATCGCAGGCTCAGGGTGCAACGACTAAGCCAAAATGCCATCGATCCCCTCGGTTCTATGATTTACATAGTATAGTAATAAGTCCGTATTTATGTACGTAATAGCCGACTCATGCCATGCTTGTGGTGCATTTTTCGTTTATTAGCCCATACACTTGTACGCACGCGCACAATTCCGAACTCCAATGGCGGCTTTTCACAGTGATCAAACTATATTTTACACAGTTTCGTTGAATTTTCAAAGAATTGTGCCAGTTTCCTATGGATTTTACGTTGTGTCGTACTCTGGACTTTCTTGCGTGTTGAATTAATGTGTTTTTCTTTGTGTAACAACTCGAAAATTTAGACCCAGCGAATTTATACAATATATAGAAGGATATTTAAACAAGGACAAGTTAAAGGTTTGACAGTTTGACTTTTTAATAAACAACTATAAATATACGTCGTGGACTCATAACATCCGTTGTGTACTTGTGTTAATTTTTGCATCGCACTCTGGACTTTCTTGCCTGTTGAATTAATGTTTTTCATTTTGTATTAAATTAAACGACTCGAAAACCCCAAAATTTCATAAATTTGTACCCAGCGAATTTATACAATATATTGGAATATAAACAAGGACAAACTCTCCGAATTCCTTACGATAGTTTTAGTCAAATGTCGACAATATGCCTTTAAATACATGTATTAAAATCCGCGCAGTACTAGAATTAAGAGAATTAGCGTAGCGCTGGCCGCTTAGCCTGTGTACAGCCGTAAATTCTCACAGGCTATGGCCGCTGGGTGCGGAAATTTTAGTACTGCGCGAAATATAATCCGCGTGAAAAGCTTTGTGGTAGCTATACTAAAGATAAAGCGTGCGTTCAAAATACCAACAAGAACTATAACCATTATTGTATGGTTCTCATTTGCTAGACTTGCCACAAGTCGACCTCGAAGAAACGCATTTCGTTCAAGGTCGACTTGTGGCAAGTCTACTCATTTGCCTAATACAATAACATTAGTTCGACGCGAATTTTAATACAAGTATGGTATCATATTTCATAATATAACAAACAATGTAAACGTACTAGCCATACATTTTGCCGAACATAACTTCGGCCCCTTTCGACATATCTTTTTCGTAATGATATTATTGGAACCAGAATCGAAAACACTATTTATAGTGTTATTTTCAAGCTTGTGTCTTGAGATTGTCATCTTTTATTTCGGTATTTACAGAATATTTATATTTTTAGCGCGGCCCATGGAACGCACATCAAAACAACGCGTTGTTTAGGAAAAACCGGAAATCGATTCTGTAGGTCGGCATGATTTGCACGTGCATTGATCGAGCTATAAACGTGCGTGCGAGTAAAAACCCGATATTCTGAAAAATTCTAAATAAATATTCCTACTCTGTGCCGTATTCAAACGAAACTTTGTATATGAAAGCGCTTGAATGCAAGATGTATTTTACTCACATTGACTCTGAGCAAATTCTGAAGAGTCACTACTTCGTCGGAGCAAGACGTATTTAAATTGCTCCCGGTCAAGACAAATACTTCAAAATTATTTTGGTTTTCTTTTGCTTGTTTCGATGCTATTCTTCTTTTAAGCTCAAGTTTGGAGTGTTTGGCATCATGGTTTGATTTATTAATCCTGTAGCAGCCCTGTATAACAAGCATTAAAAAGGCTCGTGTAGTTGTTGTGAGAGCTGAAAGATGGGGGACGAAGAAGGACGCGTAAATACTCGAAGTCATTCGCGTAAAGATTTAGATACTTATTTTAAGTCCGATGCGTTTGGAGACTTAGTGAATAAAGCAATTACACAGCAATTCCAAAGTTTCTTAAGTTCAAAAGGTTTTCAAGATATGCTTGTATTGACGACTAAGACAATCGTCTCTGAAGTGGTGTGCGATACAGTCGAGTCTGTCGTCGATAAAGAAATTGACAAGGTCATTCAACCTCTAAAAAATAAAATAGCTGAATTGGAATTTCAGTTAGATCGAGTTAAGTCTCATGCAAATGATAATGAACAATACTCGAGACGGTGTAATGTTCGAATATATGGTATAGCGGAGGAAAAAGGGGAGAATTGCTACGACGTTGTTGTTGATTTCTGCCGAAATTGTTTGAAGTGCGATGTAGCTGTAAGCGAAATTGATCGAACACATCGAGTTGGGAAGCAAAGGAATGATTCAACTCCACGTGCTATGATAGTTAAATTCTTGTCATATCAGTCGAAGCTGAAGGTCTTAAAACATCGGCGAAATTTGAAAGGAAGTAAGAAATTCATCAATGAAGACCTTACTTTAGTGAACAAGATCTTATTCGACTCGGCAAGAAGAGATCTAATCAACCTCTCTGTGTGGACGACGGACGGTAAAGTATTGGTTAAGATGGCTGACGAAAAGATTGTCCGAATCAAGTCTAAGGACGACATTTGTTTATTAAAATGATTATCCCGCCTTCATTCCAAACATGCTTCATTGACTATATATTTTTTTACATGTTTAGTAAATCCTTTGATCTTTGCGCTGTGTTATTTTTTCATAATTTAATTTTCTTTGTGTGTAATCTTGTGCAGCCCGAGGTAAGTGTTGTCTATTTTGTATTGTGCGAATTTGATGGGGGTTAGTTTGGAAATTTACAGAGCAAATATCGGGAAATTTAATTGTTATAAAGTCAGTTTGTGTAAATCATATTTTCATGCCAAAATAGGAAGCGGACGTTTGGGATGTTTTATGGCATTTTTTATATTTAAAATGTCATTAATTTTACTGTCCGGAGATGTTGAGGTTAATCCTGGTCCATCTAGAAACCTAACTTTAAACGTTGGTCATATTAATGCTAGAAGTTTGAATGTTGAAGAAAAATTTGATGAGATTACTTCTCTTGTTGTTGAACAGCGGCTTGATATCTTTGCAGTGTCTGAAACTTGGCTAAATCAGGAAATTTCTAGTGATTTATTATGCATTCCTGGCTTTAGCCCTATGTTCAGACGGGATAGAAGTAATGATAGAAGGGCGGGGGGCGTAGCTTTGTATATCTCATCCAATTTTGCATCTAAAAGACGTAATGATCTTGAACACAGTGATTTCGAATTACTTTTGTTGATGTTAGAATTAATTCATTGTCCTTTGTTTGTGGGGTGTGTTATCGCCCACCTAATTATAATTCTGCTGCAAACAATGCTTTTTTAGATCATTTGCAATTCTGTTTGGATGAAATTTACCAAACACCTGGTACCTTTGTTT